AACTATATTATCTTAAATACAACCCGATTAACTTTGAACAGTATGCAGTTTCAATACTATATTATAACCTCCAAAAGAATTGTATCACTAAATGCTCTCTCTTATGTTATATGATGACCAACATTTAAAAAAAAAATGATGTATCGTAATTTTGATGAAGACATTAATTCTTGTAGTAATTAATTATTTCCTGTATGTTTACATGATCATGACTAAACATGTGAAAATTATTACTAAACAGTGTAAAACTGATGTAAAGTATAGAGTGGTGACATTTTTATAAATAATTGTTTATTTGTTGCACCCGTATTTCAAGATTCGATGTAATATATAAATGATTGTCAGTGGTACATACTCACATCGGCATGACAAACCCCAGTTCCACATAACATATTTATTAATCATCAGCCATATATATGAAATCATAGAAAATAAAACATAGAAAATCCTATATATGATTTTATTTTTTCAACTAGCTAATTGAACTCAATAAAATATAGCTCAAGTATATATATCTTGACCGAAACTGAAAAACATGGTAACAACATTCTCTTCTCTAATTGTGGCCTCCATTTCTATACGATCTTGAAATCGGAAGCTGGGAAAATCTGATTACGCTGTTCTCTTCCACAATACAAGAAGATTGTACTTTGCAAGAAAACATAGAAATATTCCTCAACGCTCCAAGCCCACGATCCCCTTTCTCGCTACGTATCAAGCCTTTGTCATTTTTATATTCGCTCTTTGTGACCTCCTTATAAGCAATCAAGAAAGGATCGTTCATTATTACCTTCTTCGTGCCCTTCCTAGAAGAGCTTCTCGATAAACGTACTCGAGGGATTTGCGAATCGTGAACGGATGAAAGTCGAGCAGCCATGGCCGGAGGACATGGCGGAGGCGGCAGCTTCCGTGGCGGCAGGTGGTGGTGCTCCGGCGGCCGGGCGGCCTTGCTGACGCCGGGTTTTTTCTCCCAAGAAAATGGGATTTTTCCTTGGGAGTGAATTTCTTTACTCATACTAAAGATACAAAAGTAAGGAGGGTGAATTAGGGGTTTTAGAGGGATATATATATATGTAGATGGGGTTTTTCAAACTTTCTTGAAAAATTGGTTCATGTAAGTTGCACTCCTTAACTACAATACCCAAACTTAAGTCAAGCAAATAAAACGTGAAGTGGTGGCTTTGATTGGTTAGACAACATTTCGGTCCTAAAGGGGGATTATAAATAGATGGCTGCTATATGTTATAAAATAACTTGTATAGATGATGAAGATTGGGCAACAAAATAAACAAACTATATAAAAAACAGTTCTTTCAATGGACGTCACGGGAATTGAAAAGTATGCGGAAGAAGTTTATAAGATGACGAATATGAAAAGTCTTGCAACTAATTTCTGAATTCTTTTCAAATTGTTATTGTTACAAATCTCTATTTATAGTCTCACACATGGCCCATAGGTTTATAATAGAACTTGATGACTCCGTTCTTGAGAAGATTTAGGCGGTGCTTGTTTATAAAAAAATTAGATTTTTTTATTTTTTTTATTTTTTTTTTGTATTAACTAGAGTTTATTTAAAAAAAATTAGTGTGTTTAGTTGTTAGTAGAATTTTAAAATTGTATTGAAATAATATTTAAAATAAAATGATTAAAATTTATTTAGATGTAAAAGTATGAGATAAATGGTTGGAAATGATTGGTAATGATAGGGAGTTAATATTATGTAGAGGACCTATATAGGGACACATACAGAAAACCTTGCCTAACCAGAACCAAGACTAAAAAACCTTGCCTCTTGCCCGGGTAGACAACCCGCAATCGGAGATCCAAAACAAACTCCACCGCCCGATGACCCGGAGGCTAGGCACGGACCCGACCTCGACTCGCCTCAGCCCATGTAACCCAGACTCCCCAAAGGCAGAGAAGAACGGGAAGAAGGAGGAGAGTGGAACCTACCCGATATCAGCCCCTACCATCATCAAGGGGATGGTTGGAGCCACAGTCCTCTCTCACACACTCGTCAGTCGTCCGCCACCGACTAAATATTTAGATGACACAATATCAGTTCGTCATTTAAGTTCGATCTTTTAGTGACAATTAAGAATTATAATGATGAATTTTTGATATTTAAAGTGATGAGATAGACGTCACTAAAACTAGTTTTTTAGTGACAAATCATAATAATGTCACATAGACATTTTGTGACGCGACTACGGTGACAAACGCTACGACGAAAATTATTCGTCACTATATACTTGTAGTGACGAAAAATAGATTTTTTTTTATGAATATTTTCGTCATAAAATATCAAATTTCTTGTAGTGAACCATCGGACCACGACCCACTCTGGCGACCTAAAAAGAGGCCAAAACCAAGAGGATGGAACCAGCCGCCTCACCGAAGCAAAGGACGCCGCCAGATCTGACGAGCCTCTGAGAGTCGGCTGCACGACTCGGAGAGGGCCGCCGCAGATGGCCCGGAGGCTTACTGGGAGATGGCGCACTGCAGCTGATTTAGGTTTTTTAAAAGAGAAAGGGGAAAGTTGAGGGGAGAGAAAATAACTTTTTAGTCTTTTTGGTAGTATCACTTTTCGAATGAAAATGTAAAGTTGGAGTGAGTATTATTTCGAAAGTACCTCAAGTTTCCAATCATTGAGCATATTTTAGCTGAGAAACAATTATTATTTATTTTTAGCTAAGTGTAGAATCAAGTCTATATACTTCTTGGCCTGATGTTTTATCGAACACATCGAACGTCTTCAACATATTTTTAACATTATTGTGACAAAACAATTATTTCCGATCTTTTAGTAAATGTATCTAAAAAATTACATCAGATATTAATAATTCTTTCATCTCAAATTTTGTCTTTTGGGTATTCATGAACATGTCACAATTACTTTTCAAGATTAACATATTTTCTATATAAGGCTTATGATCACAATTGCCAATTGCCATTCATTGAATTCAAAATCGTTCGACAAAATAGTTTTAACAAACATTTGATGTCATTACTAGGCCTCGTGGCGCGAGGATTTAGTCGGACGAAGCGTCAGTTGGGTCGTAGTGTGAGGGGGGAGGGGCGCGACGAGGTCGCGACGAGTGTCACGGTGCAGCGTGGAGTCGCGACAGCCTGCTCCTCCTGTTGTTGGGTGCTTGTTCGTCGTCCTCGTTCTCATCAGTATACATACACATTCATATGTATGCAACTTTTTTTTTATTCAATTCGATATATCATAAAATTTCATATTATATAAATTCAAATCTTTAGTCTTGTTTTAAAATACTAACAAACAACTTAACCAATCTAATTTCTATTTTCAATACCTCACTTACACAGCCTCCACTAATCCTCTCTCTCACCCTAGCTAATTCCCATTTTCCCCTTTTCCCAAAACCCTCGGCCCTCTTTCAGATCCACGGCGCCTCCTTCCGGCGGAGGCGCCATACCTTCGCTATAAGACCGGCACCAGGACCGTGGCTCCTCCATAGCCGGATTTCGCTCTTCTCGGATGGCGTGGTGCCTCTGCCTTTGCGGTTGGGCATGGCTGTCTCGGGTATGGTGGGATTCGTGCTGGTGGTGGATCTGCGGTCAGCGTCTTTGCTGTGCAACGATGGAGGGGCTGAGGTTGGCGGTGGTCTCTGTCCCCTTGTCCTGCTTCTCCGTGGTGCGTGGAGAGCGGGTTCTCCGGCGGGGCGGTGGTGGCGAGCTCGCCGGATTGTGTGGGGGCTAGGAGTAGCGCACGCTCCTGGTGTTGGCCCGGCGGTGTAGCCTCCGTAGAGAGGATGGGTTTGACGGTCTGGTGCGAGTCTTTTGACGTTCGTGTCGTTCTCGTGGCCGTGTATGCCGCTTTCCGTTACCTTTCTTGGTGGATATTCCGCCTGGGCTGGGTTCGAGTGGTGTAGGTGTGGTAATAATATTGACATAGCAGGTAAAAATAGAATATTAAAATATCAATCGTCCCTCTCTTCCCCTAATCCATGTCTGATTAGGATTACATATTCTATTAAAAAATATCAATCGTCGTCTCTGCTCCTAATCCATGTTTGATTAGGATTACAAATTATGTGACATCAAACTATTATTATAAATAGACCGCACGCAGCCCATATACTAAACAAAGAAAAATTGAAAGAAATACAAAAATTTACATATATAATCTCTCTTTCTAGTTCTAGTTCAAGTTCAAGTATTTGTTTACGTACGTATGGCTGCTGCCAAATCCGCCGTGTTGCTGCTGCTTATTTTGTCATGCTTTTGCTCCCTTTCAATGGTGAAGGCTAATCCCCTTGGGGTTTGCAGATTCGACAAAATATTTCAATTAGGAGATTCGATTTCTGACACTGGAAATTTGATCCGTGAGAGGCGGGTGGGGCCCGCAACAGCCTATGCACGCCTACCCTATGGCCAAGACTTCTTCCTCAGGACACCCACTGGCCGTTGCTCCAATGGTCTTCTCATGATTGATTTCATAGGTAACGTAACTTTCGCTTCTTTAATCTTCCGTTTAGTTTAATTAATTTCCTAATTAATGCATACTAATTAATGGATTAATAATTAACTCCAGCAAGAGCCGCCGGACTTCCTCTTCTGCACGCGTACAAGGACCCAAAGGGGGAATTCAGTCACGGGGTAAACTTTGCTGTGGCGGGCTCCACAGCCTTACCGTTAGACACGCTGGCTGCCATGCGTGTATTCTCCCCCGGCACAAGGAGCTCTCTCCACGTCCAGTTGGACTGGCTTTTCACATATCTCAACTCCACATGCACTCATCATCAAGGTATATATTGATTGATATTCAAGTACTAACGAAATAAATTAAGTACAAATTATTTATTTACAAAGATTTGATCGACCAATGTTTTGCTCGAATTAAATTAACAGATTGTGCGGAGAAAGTCAAGAACGCCCTCTTCATGGTGGGTGAAATTGGAGGCAACGACTACAATTTTGCGACATTTCAGGGGAAGAAGTCGATGGACGAGCTGAGGCGCATGGTGCCGCGAGTGGTCAAAACCATTCTCTATGGTGTTAGGGTAAGTTCTAATTAATGAATATGAACATGTAAAAAATTTACGTTAGGAAATAATTCAATTTATCTTTTTACTTTTTACCAATATTTTATTTTGCAGAGAACAATTGAGTTGGGGGCAAAGAGAGTGGTGGTGCCCGGGAACTTCCCGGTCGGCTGCATCCCCATTTACAAGACGGCTTTCAAAACGAACAATTCATCCGCATACGACAATAACGGATGCTTGAAGCATTTAAACGAGTTTGCAGAGTACCACAATCGGGAGCTTCAAAATGGGATTAATAGGATGATCCAAGAAAAGCCGAATGCAATCATTGTATACGCCGATTACTACAAGGCATACGAGTTCCTCCTCCATTTCGCAAAGCATCATGGTACGTAAATTAATATATAGCTAATAATAATAATCAAATACTTGACAAATAATAATGTGTAGTAGAAGGAGTAAAATTGAAGATATATATTGGGTGCATGCAGGAATGGATTGGGAGAGGGCGTGCTGTGGGATTGGGGGAAAGTACAATTTCAACACAGGGAGAATGTGTGGGGCCCTCGGAGTTCCGGTTTGTAGGAATGCTCATAGGTACGTGAGTTGGGATGGGATTCACATGACTCAACAAGGTTACAGGATTATGTCTGGCTGGTTGGTTCGCGACCTGCTCTCCAAGCTCCGTTGCTTGGAGAGGCTGCCCTGATTGGATAATTAACTCTATAAATAGGCTTCAAACCGCCAAGTTTTGTTTTCTTTTTTCAAATTCTCAAGATGGTTTGAGTATTCATCTTAAGAGATTAGTTGTTTTATCTAGTCTGTTTCATGCAAAGAAAAATAAACAAATTTGTTAGTTTTTTGTTTTTTTTTTTGTTTTTTGGTTTCCTTTTCCTCTGTTTTCTTTCCCATGAAAGGATGTATTTTGGGAAATTAATGATTGTTTTTTGTTTTTTTATCATATTGTGCATATATTGATAATACAAAATTCTAAATAGAAAACCAACTTACCAGCAGCAACACTAATTCCCAATAAAGATGACTAAAAATTTATTTAGTTGCATTTTTCTCTGAAAGGAAAGTCAATTTTTCTTTGGAGCCCTTAAAATCACAGCTCCTCTGTTCCCAATATCCTTTTGATCTGCTCATATTTATATGTCCCTTTTTTAGGTTCCTTTTCTTATGCTTTCCAATCACCTCTTTCACCTCTTTTCAACCCTTCAGAAATGCAATGCAACACTTGTTCTAAAATAACGCATATACAGGGTAGAACATACAATCATCCGGTTCCAAAGCACATTCAACTAAAACCAATTAGAAAACGTAGACTGATAATTAAGATTCAAAAGGGGCTTCAATATTCAAAGCACGGTAGAGGTGATTGAATCGTCCAATAACGTCCTCTTTAGTAAACGAACCCCAAAGGTTTAATCTTATTTGTCACATGTACCAATGCATATCATCCACTCTCACACATTCATATAGAGGTATGTTGATTCAATGCTGAAAAAACTTGCTGAGAATAGTAACAAATGTACGTGTTAGTACTTGTGGATGGACTTTGTTCAATCTCTGTGGGAAACTACTATCATTTAGGTTAGATCTGTGATTTTTTATTGAATCACATACACATAGATGTATGTTGATTCAATAATAATAATAATAATAATACTAATAATAATAATAATAAAAAGAAACTCGGTGTGGGCAGAGAAATACAAATTTCTTGTCTCTTGGTGTTGTTTTAACTTTTTACATCGTTTTGATTGAGGGACTTATTGAGGGATTCAAATCCCCATGCATGTTTGGATAATAATATAAGTTGGAGGATTTCATATTCATTCTAGATAGATTTTAGTCATTATTTTGAAGGATTTTAAACGACTTCATGAAGGATTTTCAAATTCATCCTAGTCATCTGAAATCTTCTGTTTATCTCACTGTTGATGACCACACGGTTCGTGAATATGACCCTTCATTTAGATTTTCATCACCGCGAGTCAATGCTATCAACTGGTGGTCCTCTTGTTCTTCCCCTTTGAAGTTGATCCCACATTAAGGGTCCTTCAATGTTTGTTGTTGTTGGTGATTTGGACTGAGACATTTGTTTTAGAATGGGGACATCAATCTCTTCAGGTTCTTGATGTATTTAATAAATTAATTAATTTATTGAAGACATCATTGCAGAAACAAAAACAAATTTAGAACAAATGAGCTCCTATGTATTTTTTTTTCAATAATATGATAGTGTCCTAATATAAAAAAAACAATAAAATAATATATTACAACCCCAACAAAAAAATATGAAAGTAAGTCCTTAATGAAGAAAAAAAACACTAAATAACTAAATAAGGACCTAATGTATATTATAGATGCATTAGTTTTTTTATTTGTTTATATTAGATGATTGAAGATTACTTTTCTTTCATTTTAGTTTTAACGTTCTCATAAGAAACATTCCGTTAGAACCCAATACATCAATATCATTGCAAATTCTTCTTAATTCATTTGGTAAAATGTCTACTTTATTCAATCACTTAAAATATTCTGAAAAACATATAATCAAACTTCATGATTGTATGATCTTTATAAGGTATTTCTACTAAGACCTCCGACCGGCTGGAATCGGCCTGATCTTGAGCTCCTCTGTCGATTGAACGCCTTCAGACCTGCAAAACTCTCACACCGAAGAGGTTTTACGGTGAAAAGCCTCCGAAACTTAAGTTAGCACTTGTAAAAGATGAAGTGTAGTATAAAAATGTATGTAGAGAGGGTAATGTCATTCAAGGCATACCTCACTCCCTTATATAAGGAGAAGATACTTTATTACCCAAGTCTGCCTGAGTGGGCTGCCCAGACTGCCCGTTCGTACTGCCCGAACTGTCCAACTCTGTTAGGCCGCGTGGTCCTATCCACGTGGGGGTAATATTCTTTCTTACCCCTTAGTCTTCATCATTAGACGGTCTAATCGTGCGACTGACCCTAATTACTTCGAGGTAGCGTACTACCCACATCGAGCTCCTACACTCTGCTCATCTGGCCGATCCTTCGACTATATGTATCTTCAGGTCGAACTTCAATCAGGCCATCTGAGGCCCTAATTCGACCTGTTGGCGTTCTTCGTATCTTTGATGTCCTCTTCGACCTGTGAAATCTTCACTCCCAGTTCGACCTAATAGTCCATCTAGTTCGGTTCGAGTGCTTCCTCGGTCTAGTCGACCTGGTACGGTTATCCCATATCATAATCGTTCATGAATATCTCTGTGAAATAACCAATCATGTCATTAAAATTACTCATAGTTTTATTTTTTTATCATTGTTTAAACTACTACATTACTCTCTCCATATAGACAAACTGATATTTATCCCATGAAAGCATCGCCCCATGGGGTGGGAACGACTTTCATCTTCAAATAAAAGTTGACTTTCTAAAATCTTGGTTACATGTACTTCTCCCGAGGTGCTAAATTATTTTTTGAAATCATCCACATTACATTAAAGTATGTATTCTAAAGTAATTGTAAATATGTTCGAGCACAATACACCAATAAGATTGTCAATATTTCTATAAAAAAAAGTGATATTTTCATTCTTACAATCAAAATGTTTTGATCAGGCTCCGATATTCTCTTTTCAATGTTATTTTTTCGAAGATAGACAAACTACATAATCTATTGTTTGCAAATAATTGACCATTTTGGTTGTTGCAACTATTTTAGAATTGTTTATCATAATACCCTTTGCATATCGACCTAATATTTAATATTGATGTGTCTAATAACTTCTTTAATACTTTATTGTCCAAGTTTTTGCATAATGCATAATTCTTCAAAAATTCAAGATAACGATCGACAAATCAAAACGAAACAATGAGACAATATTAAGAAACATATCATTTGTCAAAACGTTTACGAGGAGGAGATTTATAATTCCATTAAATTATGACTCTTAGTCACATGTGAACTTTATTATTAAGAAGTCATTATTAAAATCTACATTACAACAACAACAACAACAACATAGCCTTTTAGTCCCAAACAAGTTGGGGTAGGCTAGAGATTAAACCCAAGAGAACCAATGGTAATGTATTACAAAATTTATGTATTACAAAATTTATAATTTTAATTATTTAAAATTCAAAATTGATAATATATGATCATTATATATGAGAACCAATTTCTTACAGAGTCTATATATCTAAACACTAACAACAAAAAAAGTAGTAGTTTTTAAAAAATTTTGTTTCTAGATACTGGTATTCATACATCTCTAAGAAAATTCAGTTTTTTCTTTTTCCAAATTTCATTACTTTTCTTATTTGTTTCTTATTCTATTCAAAGGTAATATTTTATTTGTTGAATGAATTAGAGCACATTTATATGTATTATTTTATTTTTTTTGTACATGTTTTATATAATGATGTTGTTATCAAAATATCTTATTCTCAGTCGAACCGACCGATAGGTCCGATTTTCTAAACCATTATAATAACAGNATATCATCATCTTGTTCCTGTAAAAATAATTCATATAGATAGGAACATATGTACATTTCAAAATATTTAAGTTAAGAAAAAATTAAATTACATAATTTTTACACTTTAATACACTCAAATTAATTCCATAAAATTTTAGTTGTGTAAAAATATAAAATTTGTCACTTAAATATTTTTACAAGTCTAAAAATACCTAAAATATTATATATTGTTCTTATATTGTCTTACATTTTGTCAAGTTTTTTTTTATAAAATTCATCCTTTTTTTTTGGTACAAAGAAGGAGGCCATAGGCCTAGGTGTTAGACGCGAGTTCGGCGGGGATATGAAACCCCGCTGATATCATGCTGGAGCCATTCTCCCAGAGTTGAAGGCGGAGTCGAACGCACATGAAGGCCTATCGAATAGGAAGACGCTAAGCTCGCCAAGTGGTCGGCCGCAAAGTTAGCCTCTCTATGTATGTGTCGAAGGCAAACAGACCATTCCTTTTGTATCATTTGGCGAATGACCATGACTAAGGCTTCATGAGCCCCAAAATCCCTACCGTTCCCTTGTATCATCTGTAACACACACTGGCTATCAACTTCCACAACGACTTTGCGAAAATCTTTCGTCCATGCAAGATGCAGCCCCTGAAAAAGGCCCCACATTTCTGCTCCGGTTATGGTGCAAAAGCCGATATGCATAATAAACCCCATAGACCATCTACCCATCTCATCTCGAAGGAGCCCACCCGCACTTCCGAGCCCAGAAGCCTTGTCAAATGCGCCATCAGTATTGACTTTAATCCACTCGGGATCCGGCGGGGACCAATAAATTAAGCGTGTCTCGAAACGATCCATTTCAGCCCCTATTTTAGCGAATCGCTTTGAAGAGTGAGTGTAGGACCGCAAACGGTGCAACACCTCCAATCGCCGCGCCTCGTACCCCATAGGGATTCTTGACTTTTCATAACCACAAAAGTAGATAAAATGAATCTTGCTAATTAAATCATTGAATCGGTATGTTTCACAATTTTAGCTAACCTTAGGTATTAGGTAAAGGAAAAAGAAAAACCTTACGAATGGAGGAAAAAAACATGCGCGATAGAGACCTATTGAAATTCTACTAGCATAAACGCTAATACCATCTCAAAGAAAGCGTACTTTCTCAACAACTGTTGTAGTTGAAAAGCGTGACACCTGAAGTTCTATTTACATAATCACATTCATTTCATCAACAGTGCCCCTCCTCTCTTTTGGGACTCTTTAAAGGCACAATAAAACAAGAATTTTATTTCTTTCACTCTCTCCAACCCTTCGAGATTTTGCCTCTATTCCCCCCAAAAATTTCCACTCTAAAGAGAAGAAAGAAAAACCCTAGTTTCGCTTGCTCTGGACTTTTTTGTTCCCTTTTCGTTTCCGGCGACTTTCGTGGCTAATTGATTTGTGCAATTGGGGTCGAGGAGGGAGATGGAGGATGCTGACCAGAATAAGCTCTTTGTTGGGGGCATTTCGTGGGAGACGACGGAGGATATTCTGAACGAGCATTTCAACAAATACGGCGTCGTTTCGGGCTCTGTGATTGCTAAGGATCGTGTTTCGGGCCAGCCCAGGGGTTTCGCCTTTGTTACCTTCTCTGAATCGTCGGCCGTTGATCGGGCGCTTCAGGAGTCCCATCAGATTCTTGGCAGAACGGTCAGTTTGTTGTTTTTATACTTTTAGCTCCTTCTTTTTTATATTTTTGAGGACTTGTGTGTGTGTTTGCGTGATTCGGTGTTGAGGGAGAAGGTGTGGCGCTGAATGGTGTTCAGATTTAGGGCTTTTAAATATGTGGTTTTTCTTCTTTCGTTTCCATTATTATGTGTAGATCAA